AAATGTCCATAAGAGAGATACATCGACCAGCTGCCTCTTGCACATCCCCCCGGGGATGTGTCCGCAACCAAGGTACATGCCCTTGACCAGAATCGAACCCGGGACCTTTCAGTCTGCAGGCCGATGCTTTATCCACTGTACCAAACCAGCTTCAGCAATACCAGGCTGTTTTAAAGTGGCTTTGTAGTTTAGCTTAATATCCGGTATTGTGATTCCTCCAGCTTTATTCTTCTTTCTCAAGATTGCTGTGGCTATTTGGGGTCTTATTTGGTTCCATATACATTTTTGGAATATTTGTTCTAGTTCTGTGAAGTTTGCTGTTGGGATTGCATTGAATCTATAGATTGTTTTAGGTAATATGGACATTTTAATGTTGATTCTACCAATCTAGGGAGACAGTATATTTTTCCACTTGTTTATATCTCTTTCTATCTCTTTAAAATGTCCTATAGTTTTCTGAGTACAGGACTTTTATCTCCTTTGTTAAGTTTATTGCTAAGTATGTTAATTTTTGTTGTTGTTGCAATGGTAAATGAGATTTTTTTTTTTTTTTTTTAGTTTCTCTGATAATTCATTATTGACGTATAAAAATGCCATCAATTTCTGGGAGTTAATTTTATATCCTGCTACATTGCCAGATTCATTTATTAAATCTAGTATTTTTTTGTTGTTGTTGTTGAGTCTAGGGTTTTCTATGTACAATATCATGTCACATGTGAATAATGACAGTTTTACTTTTTCCTTTCCAATTTTGGATGCCTTTTATCTCTTCTTCTTGTGTGATAGCTATGTCTAAGACTTACAATACTGTGTTGAATAAGAGAGGTGAATGTAGGCATCCCTGTTTTTGATGTTGGCTATAGGTTTGTCACATATGGCCTTTATTATATTGAGATATGATCCCTGTATTCTCACGTTGCTCAGAGGTTTTTATTAAAAACTAGAGGCCTGGTGCATGAAATTCGTGCATGGCTGGGGTGCCCCTTAGCTCAGCCTGCACCCTCTCCGATCTAGGACAACCCTTTCACAATCCAGGACTGCTGGCTCACTTGCCTGCCTTCCTGATTGCCTCTAACCGCTTCTGCCTGCCAGCCTGATCACCCCCTAACCACTCCCATGTCAGCCTAATTGATGCCTAACTGCTCCCCTGCCAGCCTGTTTGCCCCTAACTGCCCTCCCCTGCAAAATTGGTCACCCCTAACTGCTCTCCCCTGAAGGCCTGGTCAATTTGCGTATTTCTCTTTTATTAGCTATATTAGAGGCCTGGTGCATGCATGGGTGAGGGTGGTGGTTTGCAGGCCGTACACACCGTCCCCCCTCACCCCCTTGGTGACCCCAGCTGAGGCCCTGGTATCTGGGATTTATTTATATTCTACAATTGAAAATTTGTAGCCTTGGAGCAGAGCCAAGCCTTCTGCTCGCTCAGTGGCAGCAGCCATTTCTGTTGGGATTTATTTATTTTCTGTAATTGAAACTTTGTAGCCTAGAGCGAAGGCCTAGGTTGGCCAGGGCTGTAAAAGTTTGGCTTCCTCCATTGCAGGGGGCCACCCTGGCCTCCTGCTCTTCCAGCTCTGTGGCTGCCGCCATTTCTGTTGGGATTTATTTACCTTCTATAATTGAAATTTTCTAGCATTGAGTGGAGGCCTAGGCCAACAAGGCCAGGTGGAAAGGTTGGTTCCTTCATTGCTGGGGAAACCCAAGCCTCCCTCCTGCTCTCTGTGGCTGTAGCTAGCTTGATTGGGTTTATTTGCATATTTGCTCCTGATTGGCTGGTGGTTGTAGCGGAGGTATGGTCAATTTGCATATTGCTCTTTTATTAGATAGGATGGGTGTTGGTTTTTTTAAAAATGTTTTTTCTGCATCTATTGATATGATCATGTGATTTTTTTCCTTTCAATTTATGTGACATATCACGTTTATTGATTTGCAAATATGGTGCTAATCTTGGATCCCTGGAATAAATCCCACTTGATCATGGTGTATAATTCTTTTAATATGTTCTGGGATCCAATATGCTAATTTTTTGTTTAGGATTTTAGCCTCCATCAGGGATATTAGCTTGTAATTCTCTTTCTTTGTAATGCCTTTATCAGGTTTCGGAATTAGGATAATGTTGGCCACATAAAAAGAGCTTGTAAGTGTTTCTTCCTTAGAGTTTTTGAAATAGTTTGAGGAGTATAGGTGTTAGTTCTTCTTTGAATGTTTGATAAAACTCCCCTGTGAAGCCATCTGGAACAAGGCTTTTGTTTGTTGGGAGATTTTTTATTATAGCTTCAATTTTATCAGTTGTTATTGGCCTATTCAGGTTTTCTTACTCAGTTTTGGAAGATCATATTTTTTGTAGAAATTCGTTCATTTCATCCATATTTTGCCAGCTTGTTGGCAGATAGTTGTTTATAGTATTTTCTTACAATCCTTTGTATTTCTGTGTTACTTTACTTCATCTCTTTCATTTTTTTTTCTTTAATATATTTTTATTGATTTTTTTACAGAGAGGAATAGAGAGTTAAAGACATTAATGAAAGAGAAACATTGATCAGCTGCCTCCTGCACACCCCCTACTGGGGATGTGCCCGCAACCAAGGTACATGCCTTTGATCACAATCAAACCTGGGACCGTTCAGTCCACAAGCCAACTATCCACTGAGCCAAACTGGTTTTGGCCTCTTTTTAATTCTTTAATTTGTAGGGTTAGATAGTTATTAAATATTTTTGTTTGTTTATTTTTGTTTTTTCAGGTAGGCCTGCAGTGCTGTGAACTTTCCTATCTAAATGCTTTTGATGTGTCCCAGAGTTTTTGGATTGTTTTGTGTTCATTTTCATTTGTATCCTGGAAGTTTTTTTTATTTTTTTCTTGATTTCATTGGTAACCCAGTGTTTAATAACATCCTGTTTAACTTCCATGTGTTTGAATGTTTTTGAGTGTTTTACTGTAGTTGATTTCCAATTCATGATATTGTGATCCGAGAAGATACTTGATATGATTTTAATTTTCTTGAACTTGCAGAGAATTGTATTGTGTTCTAACACATGCTCTACCTTTGAATGTCCTATGTGCACCTGAGAAGAGTTTACATTCTGCAACTTTTGGATGAAATGTTGTGTAAATGCCAATTAAATCGATCTGATCAAGTGTGTCACTTAATATCACTGTTTCCTTGTTGGGTTTTTTGTCTAGAAGATGTATTTAACAAATTCAGTGGGATGTTAAAGCCCCCTACTATGGCTGTATTGCTGTGGATCTCTCCCTTTAAGTCTCACAATTTTTTTTTTTTAGAAATAATACATATTTACTAGAGGCCCGGTGCACAAAATTCCTGCACTAGGGGGTAGGAGGAGGGGTCCCCTCAGCCCGGACTGTGCCCTCTCGCAGTCTGGGGCTCCCAGTGGGCAGTCGTTCATCCTTAGCTTTGACTTGAAGGTGGGGTCCCACCACTGCTGCTGCACTTACTAGTTATGAGCCCAACTTCTGGCTGAATTGCTCCCCCTGTGGGAACACACTGACCATCAGTGGACAGCTCCTGTATTGAGCATCTGCCCCCTGGTGGTCAGTGCATGTCATAGTGTCATAGCTCGGTTGTTCTGCTATTAAGTCAATTTGCTTATTAGCCTTTTATTAGATAGGATTTATTTGCTCTTATATTTACCAGAGTTACATCCTCTTGTTGAAGCAGTCCCTGTAGTATTATGTAGTGACCTTTTCCTCTTGTTATGGCCTTTGTTCTGAAGTCTGTTTTGTCTGGTGTGAGTATTTCTACCCCAGCTTTTGTTAGTTAGTTTGTTTGTTTGTTTGTTTGTTTGTTTCCATGGAATATTTTTTTATACCCTTCACTTTCAACCTGTGTGAATCTATTGTACTGAGGTGGGTCTCTTATAGATAGCAAATAATTGGGTCATGTTTTCTTATCCATTCAGCTACCTTGTGTCTTTTTTATTGGAGCATTTAATCCATTTACATTTAAGGTTATTATTGACAGGTATCATTTACTGCCATTTTTTTCTTTATACCAATGTCCTGTCTCAGTCTTTTTCTTCTTAAAGCACTCCTTTTTGCATTTATTGCAATGTTGGTTTGGTGGTAATTAACTCTTTAACCTTTTTTTTTTAGTTACTATTATTCTTGGAAGCTTTTTATTTCACCAATTTGAAATGATAGCCTTGCTGGGTAGAGTAGCCTTGGTTTCAAGTCCTTGCTTTTCATTATTTTGTTAATCCCCTCTGGCTTGAAGTCTTTCTGTTGAAAATCAGTTAATACACTGATGGGAACTTCTTTGTAGATAACTGTTTCTCTCTTGAAGCCTTTAAGATCACCTCTTCATATTTAACCTTTGCCATTATAATAATTATGTGTTTTATTGTTGGTTTCTTAGGGTTCATCTTGATTGGAACTCTCTGTGCTTCCTTCACTGGTGGGTCTTTGTCTTTCACCAGGGTAGGGAAGTTTGTGTATTTATTTGTTTGTCTGTAGCTATGTTTTGTGCATGGTGTCTTCTTTTTCTACCTGATTTCCTTTGATTATGTACCATTTATTATACTTGAAAAAAATATATATGTATGGTTGGTTTAAAGTCTAGACTTCAGATTTTTCCCTGTTAGACATAAGGAGGTTATCAGTCTGGAGTCACTATAATCCACATGTAAGGCTGCTGTTTCCTTGGTTGTCTCAGTGACGTAAAACTGGGCTGCAGATCCAACTGGGGTTTGTGTAACCATGTGGTACCTTCTTAAAATTGTTGGTGATTGAGGGGGTATCTAATTAATAGTTTATTTTTTACTGCAGGTGCTTTCGTAACAAAGCAACCGCGTGACTGAAGTGCCTTTTTGGCTCTTATTTAGGTTTCTGTCTCACTATTTTGTTAACTTTTTACATTTCATCTATACTTAAAAATTATTCATTACATGGTTCCATCTAACTTACCTAGCCTGCCATTAACAGAAGCAGAAATATTTTCCTTTAATTTGCTTTTGAATTTGCTTTGATCTTTGTTTGCTTTTTTTAGGTTCTACATGAAACATTTCCTCAACACACATTCCTCATGAATGGTCTCATTCAAGGTGTAAAGGTAAGAATAATTGTGAATGAAGCCAGGAATTCTTAGCAGTTTAACTCTGGAAGTTTAGATAGGATTTAGGAAAACAGTTATTATTTGTTTTGTAGACCTAAATTTAAAATTTTAGCTGGATTATCAAAGTCAAAATAAAATACCATCCAAATCAGTAAGGCATAAAATGATTTACTGGTAAATGAAAGACTGTTTTTATTAACATGTACATTGCAGTTTATAGAGGGTTCCATTTTGTAAACTTTTGATTTCTCTACCTATCAGCAGAATATAATGGGCAAGTGCTATCTTCTTTTGAGAAATACTTTTAGATTGAGGAAGAAGAATTAAGATTTAGTTGGGTATATAGACTTTTGGCAAGGCTGGTAGTTGTCAGTATTGCAGATGTCTCCCATTTCCCCCCTTAACCCTTCTCCACCTGAGGCTTTCCCTGCCCTATTGTCTGGGTCCATGGGTTATGCATATATGCATATATATTCTTTGGTTAATCTCTAACCATCCCTTTCAACCCCTTTTCCTCTGAGATCTGTCAGTCTGGTCCAGGCTTCCATGCCTCTGGACCTATTTTGTTTGGCAATTTATTTTGTTCATTAGATTTCACATATGAGATGTCATATTTGTCTTTCTCTAAGTGGCTTATTTTGTTCAGCATAATATGTTACAGGTCCTAGCCACACTTTTTGAGTTCTCAACCTCTTAACATAATTAGCCTTTATTGTTTGAATTTTAATGCGCTATTATAACAGCTTATAAGAATTTTTCATTTAAATAAAATGATGAAGATAATGCTATACTCCAGTTAGACTTCATAGTAAAGTATATACATATACTAATTTTCCCTTCCCAGCTTAGATCATATAAATCTGTGCTTTGTATTGAACTGTGCACTTAAAGTTATGCCCTAATAATTTGCTAAATTTGTGCACAGGGTGGGAGGATCCCTCAGCCCAGCCTGTGCCCTCTTGCAGTTTGGGACCTTGAGGGATCCTTAGCACTGCCTCAGAGGCAGGAGAAGTTCGCAGCCATGAACTGGGCTTCTGGCACTAACCACCAGGGGGCAGCTCTGGCATTGAGCATCTGCCCCTTGGTAGTCAGTGTGTATCATAGCAAACAGTTGTTCCACTGTTCGGTCAACTTGCATAGTTTTATTATATAGGAGTAGAGGCCCAGTGCACAAAATTTGTGCATGGTGCAGAGGGAGGGTGTCCCTTGCCAGGGCCAGCCTGGCAGGTGAACCAGGCTGAGGTAGAGAGGTGGGAATTGAGAAAAGAAAGACAGGAAAGCGGTGTCGGGAGGACTACGGTAGCCACTGACCGACTGTAGCAGGTTTATTAACTGCGCAATGCTTTTTATACACAAATCACTGAATAGGAGGTCTGTCAAGAGGAATGTATTCTTTGTTCCTCTTAATCTCTAAAGGAGAGATAGAGCCGAAGGACAAATTCTTAGTACAGCAGATCTCAGTAAATAATTACAGGCTTCTTGGCAAGCCATGAAAGGTTGCTCTTATTCTACTGATAGTCGCCATCCAAACAAGTCTGGGAAAACTGTGTGGGTAGGGGACCAGCCTTGCTAGCCCCCTCGAATGCAAGGAACTTGTGAGCTTACACCCTGTCTCCAACAGTCCCTCAGCCCAGCCTGCACCCTATCCAATCTGGGACCCCTCTCACAATCCAGGACTGCTGGCTCTTAACCACTCACCTGCCTGATTGCCCCTAAATGCTTCCTCCTGCCATTCTGAACACCCTCTAGTTGATCCCCTGCTGGCTTGATTGATGCCTAACTGCTCTTCTGCAGGCCTGATCGCCCCAAACTGCCCTCCCCTGCGGGCCTGGTCACCCACAACTGCCCTCCCCTGCTGGCCATCTTGTGATGACATGAAGGCGCCATGCAAGGGCTACCTAGTCTTTTATTAGTATAGATAAGTTGCAAGACTGCTATTCTCTATAGCATTATCTCAATCTGTCCAAATTTTGCTTCCTGGTACTTGTCAACAGCTTGGCTCAAATGAACTCACAAAACTTCTTCAGAGGTTTGAATGTTTCTTTTTCTTTTTTTAAATAAATCTTTATTGTTCATATTATTACATTTGTTTCTCTTTTTTCCCCCCCATAGTTTCCCTCTACCCTGTTTCTACCCCACCCTCGCCCTTACCCCCACCCCCATTGTCCTCATCTATAGGTGTACGATTTTAGTCCAGTCTCTTCCCACACTCCATACCCCTTTTCCCCTGAGGATTGTCAGTCCACTCCCATTCTATACCTCTGATTCTATTATATTCACCAGTTTATTCTGTTCATCAGATTTTTTTATTCCCTTGATTTTTAGATTCACTTGTTGATATGTATTTGTTGTTCATAATTTTTATCTTTATTGTTTTCTTCTTCCTCTTCTTTTTTTATTTTAAATATATTTTATTGATTTTTTACAGAGAGGAGGAGAGAGAGACAGAGAGCTAGAAATATTGATGAGAGAGAAACACCGACCAGCCGCTTCCTGCACACCCCTCACCAGGGATGTGCCCGCAATCAATGTACATTCCCTTGATCAGAATTGAACCTGGGACCCTTCAGTCCGCAGACCAATGCTCTACCACTGAGCCAAACCGGTTTCGGCTTCTTCTTCCTCTTCTTAAAGAATACCGCTCAGCATTCATCTAATATTGGTTTGGTGGTGATGAACTCCTTTAGCTTTTACTTATCTGTGAAACTCTTTATCTGACTTTCAATTCTGAATGATAACTTTGCTGGGTAGAGTTATCTTGGTTGTAGGTTTTTGCTATTCATCACTTTGACTATTTCTTGCCACTCCCTTCTGGCCTGCATAGTTTCTGTTGAGAAATCATTTGACAGTCTTATGGGTGCTCCCTTGTAGGTAATTAACTGTTTTTCTCTTGCTGCTTTTAATATTCTCTCTTTGTCTTTTGCTCTTGGCATTTTGATTATGATGTGTCTTGATGTGGTCCTCTTTGGATTCCTTTTGTTTGGGGTTCTCTGCATTTCCTGGACTTGTAAGTCTATTTCTTTTATCAGATGGGGGAAATTTTCAGTCATTATTTCTTCAAATAGGTTTTTAGTATCTTACTGTCTCTCTCTTCTTCTAGCACCCTCATAATTCTGATGTTGATATGCTTGAAGTTGTTCCAAAGGCTCCTTACACTATCTTCATATTTTGGGATTCTTTTTTCTTTTTGCTCTTTTGGTTGGGTGTTTTTTGCTTCTTTGTATTTCAAGTCTTTGACTTGATTCTTGCTATCCTCTAGTCTACTGTTGGATCTCTGTATATTATTCTTCATTTCAGTCAGTGTATGCTTAATTTTTAGTTGGTCCTTTTTCATATCCTCAAGGGTCTAACTAAATTTATTGGTGCTTTCTAGGAAATCCATATAACCGTGTTTTTGAACTCTATATCCAGTCATTTGCTTTCCTCCACTTCTTTCATTTCTGACGTGCTTTTTTGTCTCCCCATTTTGGCTGCTACCCTGAGTTGATAGAGTGGCTTTGTGTCCTAGGTGTCCTATAGAGCTCAATGGCTCAGCCTCCCCAGTTACTTGAGATGGACATTCTTTGTGCACCCCTTTGTGGGCTGTGTGCACAGTTTTGTTGTAGTTAAGCCTTGATTGTTATTGGTATCACTGGGAGGAATTGACTGCCAGGCCAATTGAGAGTGAAGATCAATTTTGTTTACGATGGGAAAACTTCTGTGCTGGTGACACTCCTATGGGGCAAGACTTGTTTCACTGGGGCTTTGGTGCTCACTAATTCTGCCCCCCCTCACCCCCGAGTGTGTCCCTTATGGACTGAGGATCAGAGTAGGACCATCCAGATTACAACTCCTCAGATCGCCCCCAACTTCCAGTAGGATCAGGCCTAAACGGGCAATCGGAGCATCCCTCTCAAAATCCAGGACTGCTGGCTCTCAACTGCTCGCTTGTCTGCCTCCATGATTGCCCCAACTGCTTCTAGTTGCCAGCCTGATCACTCCCTAATCACTCCCTTGCCAGCCTGATTGATGCCTACCGTATTTTCCGGCATATAAGACAACCCCCTAATTTTACAGTTAAAACATAGATTTATGCCTATATTCGCTGTATAAGACTACCCCCCACTCCCGAGGCAACACCAGTTCCACTGTGTTCTAGTAAAAAGCCTGCTCAGATTGGCCAGAGTCAGAGAGGCGGTCTATTAATAAAAAGAACTGGTGTTGCCTCGGAAGTGGGCAACCTATGTTTTAACTGTAAAATTAGGGGGTTGTCTTATATGCCGGAAAATATGGTAATTGCTCCCCTGCCAGCTTATTTCCCCAACTGCACTCCCCTGTAGGCCTAGTCTCCCTCAAGTGCTCTCTCCTGCAGGCTTGGGTCCTGCCAACTGCCCTTACTCCAGGCCTGGTCACCCCCAACTTCCCTCCTCTGCTGGCCTGGTCACCCCTAACTACCCTCCCCTGCAGGTTTGATCAACCCCAACTGCCCTCCCTTGCAGGCCTGGTCCCTCCCAACTGTCTGCCCCTGCTGGCCACCTGGTGGTGGCCATCTTGTGTCCACATGGGGGCAGCCTTCTTTGACCACATGGAGAAAGCCATCTTGTGTGTTGGAGTGATGGTCAATTTGCATATTTCTCTTTTATTAGCTAGGATAGAGGCCTGGTGCATGGGTGAGGGCCTATTGTGGTTTTCAGGATGGTCACGCACCCTGGCGACCCAAGTGGAGGCTCTGGAAAATGGGATTTATTTATCTTCTATAATTGAAATGTTATAGCCTTGAGTGAAGGCCAAGGCAGGCCAGGGCTACGGAAACTTGGCTTCTTCCATTGCTTGGGCCTTCTTTTGGATGTTCTGGGTCTCTCTGACTCAGCTGCAGTTTGTTAGGTAATTTTAGATTTTAAAGGACCAGGCTATTCATATGCAAAAACCTCTATGCACAGCTTGGGTGCGGGTGGGTCTCAGGGCAGAGCAAACAGCAGTAGCTGAACTTTGGCCCTGTCCTAAGAGGCCCCTGGGTC